GGCAATACTGCGGTGCATCCAGGATATAAAAAGAGATGCCCTCAAAACCCCTCAGCTTCAGTCATTCTTCCACATATTCAAAGTTCAGTAGTGTTTGTATCAAATGGATTACCAACAGAAGATATTGTTGAACATCTAGCTTTATGTTATTTCCGACATCGTGGTGGAAGTCTTTCAATGTTCCATCAACATACTTTTATGCGTCGGCTACGACAAAATAAAATTTCACCTTTCCTAATCCTTGCTATGTGCGCTGTGAGTGCAAGGTAAATTATAAAATTCGATCTTTATGATTCATTTAAATATGTATATTATACATAAATATATTTTACATAAATATATATATATTACATATATCATCATATTAATCGTCATATTATATTATTTAGATATTCCGATCATCCGAATATTAGGCGAGAGCCACCTTATCTAGCTGGTGAGCCTTATGCAACTCAAGCATCAAAATTTATATTAGAATCATTAGACATAGGTTGTATTGAACATGTTCAAGGTATTATATTATCCTTATTATTTTAAATTTGATTTTAAGTTTGATTTTTGGTTTATTTTTGAATTAATTTCTCGTTGAATGTAGCATTTTTATTGCTTGCGTTATATGGATTTGGTTCAGCAAATGGCGCAAAAACTTATACATATGTTGGTATGGCTATAAGGTATTAAAATTTAAATTCATTTAAATTTCATGTTATTGTTATATAATCCAATATTAAAAATTTTTACTTTATCGTGATTGAATGTTTTATATCAGAATGGCACATTCATTAGGTTTACATAGAGTTGATGAAACCACATCGAATTCTTCACCTGATAATAAACTTTCTGAAGACGCATTTATAACTAAAGAAATAAAAAGACGTACTTTTTGGACTTGTTTCGTGTTTGATAGGTATATGATCATAAATTGGTAACAAATTGGTAACATAAAAAGTTATTCATTAAATATTCAAATTTCCTTTCATTGTTGTATTAGATTTTCGTCATGCGCTTTAGGGAGACCATCACTTATTCAGGAAGAAGATTGTGAAGTTAGATTTCCTTGCATTGAATCAATTTGGGAGATGGAAAATCCTTATAATAGCCCTGCAATTAATGAACTAAATATTAATTACGCTAAACAGGGATCTTTATTTACATTAGCTACAAATGGAATTAATGCATGCTTTTTTAGCGTGGCCATTTTATTAGGTCGTGTATGTACATATGTTAATCGTCCAAAACCAACAAATGCATTACCACCTTGGGATTCATCATCAGAATTCACTATGTTGGTAAATGAATTAGAGCATTGGTATCGGTCGATCTTACCTCATTATGCTTATTCCCGGGAAAAAATGATTGAATTAATGGCAGTTGAGATGTCAGGTGTTTTTGCAGCAATTCATTTATTTTATCAGTCGGCTGTTGTCGTCCTTAATCGATCAGTCATAAAGCCACGGAAAGGAGAATCTATTACAACAATCCCAGCCGAATTCTATCGTTTATCTTTTGAGCGTTGTTATAACGCAGCAAAACAAGTTAGTTCAGTGGCTTTTGATATTTTGAAAATCGGATGTCCATGCGCATGTCCTTTTACCACATATCCTATGTATGTAACAGCAACAATTTACATAAATCATATGAAGACTGAAGATATTACAGTTTTTAATGTTACAAAAGAAAATCTAAAAATTATTGAACAATATTTGGAGGAAGTTGGGAAATTATGGGCAACAGCTAATAAATTGAGATGTGTATTGGATAATATGAAGAAAGATCAAGGTTTATCAGAAACATTTTCATCAGAAAATAAACGATATTCACCAAATG